TGTTTACAAATGTATTAAATTTTGCAAAATAATAATCCATATTAAATTATTTTCTAAACATTTAAACTTCAAAACATTTTAACTACATTTTAGCTCAAGAACATTACAAATTAACAAATACATTAATTATAAAATACTATAATGTAGAATCAATTATAAGAATACAAGCATGGAGAGATACTATAATGTAGAATCAATTATAAAAATAATATAATGTGTATTTTGTATAATAACTTCATCATATTAAAAAAGAAAATAGAAAAATTGGGTTGTCTAACAAAGATTTTTAACCAAATTAGCCAACTAGCAAAAACCTTAGTAACCAACCTATTATTTTACTAAAGAATCACTCCTTCTTTTATTTTTTCTCTAATTAGCCATTTATTCCTTGTTATAGAGCTAAGTAGCCCAATAAAATATGCATAAAAAGTAAAGGAAATGGTCAAATTAAATAGGTATTCCTCTACAATCACTAAATCAATTGGTGTTTTTTTTTTTTTTTTACTTATTCCAAACAATTCCTCAAATATTGTGTCACCATTTAGTGCCAAAATTGTATAAGCAACAATATTAATTTTATTTTTACTAATTATGTAAGGGTAAATCCGTCAATTGAAAAGAATGGGGGAAATGGCGGTTCTTCTTCCCTTTTTTGCTCTCACTATTTTTCAGTATCAAGAGCAAAATAATCGAATCGAGAGACGAAGAAGGGAAAGTTGAAGGTTTTGGGCAAATTGAACTTCGTTTTCGTCACGAGTTTGGTGGTTGCGGTGAGCATCTACACCGCCATTTACGGATTCATCGGCGTCTTTCATTTCACAAACCATTCACCGGGAAATAGCGCCAGCAGTTCTAGGGTTACCGATGAATCCGTCATCGACGATGCTTTCTTCGCTGTGTCCATGCGCTTGTCTGTTCAAGATAAGAAGAACGAAGTTATGCATCCCTTTTATGCTCCCCTCACAGATGACTTCTACGAAAGGTCTTGCCCTAAGGCGGAGCACATCATAATTGTTTGTTTAGCTTATTGAAACTCTTATGTGATATCCATGATCATGTTTGATTGATTATTGTTCTTTGAAAATATATTAAAAATGAGTAAAATCCATGCTCATGATCCTGTTTTCATTGATTTCTTTTATGAAAATATATTTAAACCTAGACTAAACACACAAGATTCATGAACGTAATATTATGTCTAAACATACCAAAAAATGTTTTTGCAAGAGAAATATATTTATCGCAAATCACTTACGTATTTGCGAAATTTTGCTATAGAATGTGTATAAAATTTTTGAACAAGATTTGTTCAAATTCAAGTTCTTGATTGTGACGATTCATTTCTTAGATTAAAAGTATGTTCTTGGATGATAATGGTAATTTGAATATCACTAGTGTAACGGCTCAACAAAATTCTAGATACGATAAAATCTCGAAGAAAATATAAAATATTTCAAGAGAATTGACTGTGGTATCCAAATGGACACAAATTCAATTTTTATAAAGTAATTAACATTGGTGAATGATTCATCGTTAAAACATTATGTTATATAACGTTTAAATATTAAAATATTATATTTTAGTTGGATTTAAATTAGTAACATATGTATATGTGAGTTAATGTAAAAAAATAATGTATATATGTAGAGACTTCCAACATGGCATTTGGAATCAACTGAACTGTTTTGATTGGTTAATTTAATTGATGTGTCCTTTAAAAACTAAAATATTCTTTGAGTGACGCATATGATTTTTTCATTTAGTGTGTCCTTAATTAATATATAGAGGATTAACTACACCAATTTAGAGCTG